ATGCCTAGGACTTCTTTTTTAGCTTTGGATAGAATAGGGAATGGTTAAAAACCCTGCCAGTTTTTTTTTCTGTCATTATTCCCTCAGGGAGATTTCCATCCACTCCAGTAACACAAAACAAAGTGGAAACAAATCTCTTCAAAGTGAGGGAAATTACCATAGTATTTCGGATTTCTCATCACTGTCTGTTCTGTTGACAATGGGACAAAAAGAGAGGGCAAATCTCCCCAGCAGGTACGTAGACAACAGTAAAAAAAAAAACTAAAAAAAAAAACTTGTTAGAGGTTCTAACTTCCCCGCCCTATCAAAAAAGTAAAACTGGCAAAAAAATACACTTGAAAGAGAACTAAAGCAAAACTTTCTTTTTGCTAGTTTTACTAATGTACTCCTGTGACCTAAACTCAGCATATAGCGGGCTACTGCCTGCTATATGCTGACAGCACAGATCAGGTGCTGCAGCTGTGAAAGATCCCAACAATACTGTCGGGATCCACCCCCCTGCCTAATTGACACGCTCTAGAGGGGAAGGACAGAGGGGAAGGGGGCAGACCAGCTGTGCCTGCCCCCTTCCCTGTCTGTCCCTCCAATGAGCGCTGGAGGAACATAGAGAGGAGGGTAGAATCCTTGCGGGGAGGAGCAGAGACTGACAGTTACTGCTCTCTGCAGGTAAAGGCAATGAGCTGAGTTGTTTGAGAACGCTCAGTCCTTGAGCTATAGAGACGGCGTGTGACAGCTGCAGTGTCGCACGCCAGCTCAAACTTTTGGGAAGAGTTCATTTCACTCTCCCAATACTTCTCCTTTAAATCATGTTACTTGTTGCATAAAGTTGATTTTTTTTTTAAAACGCTGCACACATCTTGTAACAGGTATTTTATTAAAGCAATAAATAGAACAATACATATCACAATTAGAAATAACAAACAAATCATTAAAGCTGAAACCAAAAGTAAGTTAGTGTGGCTCCCACACACTGCAAGGGTTAAATGCTTTCTTTTTCTAGAGGTAACATAAAAAGCAATTATACTTATCCTATTACTTGCTCCCTCAGGCTTCCTCCCATCTGTACGATCGGACTCTTTGCTGCTCCATCAGTCACAGGTACTAACAGAATCCACTGTATATGGGGATACCAAGGGCCTGCACACAACCCTGAGCATCAGAGAGAACCAGCAGCCGGGGAAGAGAGGGATTAGTGAAGTAAAAATGCTGTTTATGTTCCCCTAAATGACCATTCAAC